TAGCACAGCGGAAGACTAAAATACCAATGATCAGACCAATCAATGTCGCAATGCAGACCCAACATACATTGTCATCATCGCAAGGTGTGAAGGGGCCTGGCGCTGCACACAGGAAGAATGCGGCACGCTCAGATCATACACAGATGAGCAGGGGAATCAGACGAAGAGGAGGGAGGAGATGAGAATGTCGTCAACACAATGTCGTCGATATTGATCCCAAATAGTCCCCACCCAATGTCTCTGTCCCAATGTCGAGTCTCCCAAAGTCACAAATCTCTCTCTCTCTTTCTCTCTCGTAATCTGTCGATACTGAGAAGTCACCCTATAAAATAATAAATAATAATATAATAAAATAATAAATGTCACGTAACAGTTCTTCACACCCTGAATTAATTGATTGCCTTGGTTTTAGCCCACCACTGGCTAGGGGTGGCAGATCTCCCGTCAGTCTGGCATCCCTCACGGCCCACCTCAGGCCAGGACTAGTCAGACCATTTGTCTTGACAGCCCCTTTAACCTGCCTCCAGGTCAGGACCACCATACCCACTACTCGAGCATGGCAACCCTTTGGCACTCTCGCCAGGACACCCGGACTATAGCGCGTCTGGTCACCCTATGACGGTAGACCTCCCGTTAGTCCAACTGTCCCGAACCCGGATCTGACCACGGCGGTCGGGGACCGGCTCACCCACTAGTTTCAGGCCTAGGGAGTTGGCTGCCCCGCCCAGATTTTTTAACTAGGACCCAGTCTAACTATGATTCAAGGCTCTGGCGAACGCTACTAGATTGCATCCTCTGACTACGGTAGGGTTCCAGCTGGCCCCTTTTGACCTCACGGGCCAGGCCCCCGGAGCCTTAGCCTCAGTCAAACTACGGAATTCGACACTCGTGTTGGGGACCTGCTGACCCCACCAGATTGCAACCTACTGCCGTAAGGCTATGGCTAGCCCCGACAATCAACGGCATCTTAGGTTACTGAAGAGATTCCCAGAAGCACAGACAGTCAAGCATGCATACCATAGCCCACAAGCATATTGCCCATGCCCCATAAAACAGGACAAACATTTCTCAAGAGACGCCACTTCAGGCACTGAACAACAACAAGATAACCAACATCAAGCACTCGTAGGAGACCTCCCGTCAGCCTCAAGAAAGATGCTTAGTGCTGGCCCCAAAGAGGTCCCTTCCCTCATCTGGGAATTTTTCCAAAGACCTCCCGTCAGTCTCAAGGAAATGTTGATCTCAGAGAGGTCCTTTCCCTCATCTGAGAGAAGACAGGCAACTTAATCAAGAAACACGAAGTCCCTTTACTGATCATTCTCAGTCAAGTAAAGCTGAACTTCTTTATGCCTGTCCTCATCTGAATTTCTCGGATGGACAACTTAGTCAACAGACACAAAGTTCTTCTGCTGGCAAATCTCAATCAGACAGAACTGAACTTCTTTATGCCCATCATGCTTTTCTCTTTATCACAAGAATAATACTGATTACATCTTTTGATGTACCACAACCATGAGTTCTCTGATCTTGACACTGTATCAATACGTATTACAACTGCACTTCACAGCTGCTTCCCTCTCTCAGGGACCTGGCACTCATGGACCGACTGTAGCTCTGCATCAATGATACCTTAATCTCATTAGTTCAGTCACTTGCATAAGTAAGCAATTATTTCGCATGCCGAAGCGAATATGAATCATCTGAAAATTCTCTCTTAGTCCCTTGAGTCAAACTGATATGCTGAAAATTAACATACTGAACTCACACTGCAAGAATGATAAGTGTCTGCTAAAAATTAAGTCTTGCAGTCTCACTTGTCTTACTATACTTCTCTCAGTTTCTCTGAAACTGTTCTCATACTGGATGATTGATCTTTCTTTCCTCTCTTTGCGGTCACTGTAGGGATCAGATCAGGGTCTCTGAAGATGAACTTACGAAGTCTTGACCCTGATACCATGTCATGAATCCTAGATTCATCCACCTCTGATATCTTATGGACTTTGTCCTCTTCTTTCTCAATTTCTCAAGGATGTCAAGGGTTCATAAGCCATACCTTCGATCAAGCCTGATCTTCTCCATCAACCAGTGTCAATCTCCTTCTCCAGTCTAAGAGAGTACCTCACACAGGAAGAAATAAGACACAATTAGCAACTATGATTCTCAAGACAATCGAGACTCAATGAGAATAATAAAATTAATATGAAGCTCATAATATTGTCAATAGTTCTCACGCCCTAATCAAAACTCAAAGATGATGATGACCCAGGCTCGTTTCGGACACGAAAATCTTTCCATGTCCCCGGCAACGGCTCCATTTTTGTCGCACCTTTTCTAATCAGGCCTCTTCAGGCGACCAGAAAGCCAACAGGCTGTCACGCAGGGTTTTTGATGATGCTCACAATAAATAAAATAAGTTAAATAAAGCAAATCCCTTCCTGTTGTGTGCGCCCCACTTTGAGCGAGACCCTTCACAAAAAAATAATTCAGCTGCACGTTTCGCTAACCCCACTCCGAATGGTTCAGGACGTCGAACCCTCCGACAGCCACACCTTGAATTGCAGTCAAATTTGAATAATAATAATAAACCATAATAAAAATAAAAAAACGAGATTAGACCTGAGATATTTGAGGATGACCACCCTCACCAAAAGTGTAATCACTCCTCTCCGGTTGGACCGGCTACTCCCACTCAAACCGGTATGACAAATTGACATACCGCGGAGGGCCTGAATGTCGGGCCCTCCGACACCGTGGCCGATCGTGGCACCCGCTGGGATGCACCCGAGGGACCTTTTTCCACCATTCAGGTGCCCGCCCACTTGCCCGTCTACCCGGTCTTTCATTGCTCCAAGTTTGGCTCTTTATACGCCAGCGGAACATGACGATTTTCCCAGACGACGATCGCAAGACCCACCCTCTATGGACAGTTTTCAAGAGGTCGGCAACATCATCTCCCAGCGACGCTACAGCAACAGGCCAACCGAGTACTTGGTACACTTTGCGTACTGCAGTGACCGAGCTGACCATTGGTTAACCCGTGCAGAACTCCAAGCAACAACTCTGGATGTTCTTGCACGCTACGAACACAAGATGCAAGGCAAGCCGGTATCTTCGGCTCCACATCGCACCCTCATCCACGTTCCACCTTCAGATCGTCAGCTTCGCACTTGCCCCGGCTTGACTTCATAAGGAGGGGGGGGGTGTTACATGTTGCGCCTACAACAGGCTGCACGGGCCACTTTCAGGCCCGTGACGTTTTCAAGCCAAAAGCCTGAAAACAAGGGCCTATAGGCCTCGTGTCGTTTCAGCCTGAAAGCCTGAAAACCAAGGGCTACAGACCCTGTGTCATTTCAACCTAAATCAGGGCCTTTCCGGCCCTGAGTCTTTTCAGCCTGAAACTGAGGGCCATTTTCAGACGCTCATGAGTTCGGCCTGCCCCGAAACTCAGGCACCAAACCAGGGTTTTAGCTCAGGCCATTTTTGGCCCATTTTCAAGACAACCTTCATTTGAGCTTCAACCCCAGGGTGAAGCACGTTTTGACATTGGCAAGAGCAGCCTCCTCGACGGGCCAGCACTATAAAGGACTGGCCCGCCCTGCAGGCTGCAGGTAGTTCCTAGGTACTTCCCAAGCACTTCACGTGCAGTTCAGGAGGCAGGAGGTAGTCTTCAGGATTCGGCAGCAGCACTCTGGAGGAGCGCTGCAGGAGTAGTAGTAGTGTTAGACTTAGTCTTCAGCGCTGGGCGCTAGTAGCGTGAGTTGTAGTCTTCTGCGCTGGGCGCCATAGCAGCTAGAGTAGTACTATAGAGAGAGAGATTGGGGGGAGGCCAGAGAGACTTACCTGCAGCGCCATTGCTCCAGCTTCATCTTCGAGGTACCTGCAGCACAGCGCCATCTTCACAGGTCAGTACCTGCCACATGAGAGAGAGAGAGAGAGAGAGAGAGAGAGAGAGAGAGAGAGAGAGAGACCTTCTCACCCTCTCGCTATCTGACTTCACTGCATCAGCAGACTATGTGTGTGTGTGTGTGTGTGTGTGAGAGAGAGAGAGAGAGAGAGAGAGAGAGAGAGAGAGAGAGAGAGAGAGAGAGAGAGAGAGAGAGAGAGNGAGAGAGAGAGAGAGAGAGAGAGAGAGAGAGAGAGAGAGAGAGAGAGAGAGAGAGAGAGAGAGAGAGAGAGAGAGACCTTTGGATCCAGACTCGACATTGGACTTCAGACATTTTGAAGAGGGATTATTTGGGACTTGTAACGAGACTTCGTGTTGACGACTCTCCCATCTCCCCCTTCCTCCTCTTTTTCTGATCCCCTCCTCTTCGTCTGTGTATGTCTGGACCTGGCGCCTCTTTCCTGTGTATAGCGCCAGGCCCCTTCACACCTTGTGATGAGCATGATGTACGTTTGGTCTGCGTTGAAACATTGATTGGGGCTAGCCATTAGTATTCTAGCATTCTGCTTCGCTATCTTGTACTACGTGAAAGAGGTCAGTCCCGGTCAGGTCAGGACTTGTATCTAAATCTTCCACTGCGCTATAAAACACCACTTTGTATGGATCAGGTCTTGAGATTCTACTTGCACTGCATTGTCCATTCAGTCCTTTTCATCACCTTGCGGATCCTTGGTTTATATGTACATCGCCCAACTGGGCATGTAACACGGACCCAAGGCAGACTCACATTTCTGGATGGGAGAGGTATCGCTGTAGCGGTACAATTCCGTCCACCATAGTATGAGAAGCCCTTGTATTTGTCCGGGTCAAGCAAGTTGAATAAATCTGAAATTTTGTGATAGACACAGACCGTATGATACACATCCAAACTAGTATGTGTGTGTGTGTGTGTGTGTGTGTGTGTGTGTGTGTGTGTGTGTGTGAGAGAGAGAGAGAGAGGGAGAGAGAGTGTGTGTGTGTGTGTGTGTGAGAGAGAGAGAGAGAGAGAGAGTCTTCATCTTCTGAACACTACCAGAAGGTCAAGAACTTTGTCATCAGAGTGGGGATGGATACGTACCTGCAAGGCCAGAGACAAACCGCCACTCGCATCTTGTTCGAAGTACAAGAGCTGCATCAGACCAAGAAACACCACCGTCAACAGCAGCAGGAGCAAAAGTATTCTGATGTAGGGAAAGAAAGGTCGAATACGGCATAGTGTTTGACACTGTTTGTCATAAATGCAGTCCTCTGACCCCATCTTTAGCAAGAAGATCATTACACAAATAGACCGACGAGTCAGTGACAGGGCCACTATGGATGAGAATGCATAGTCGACTTCTGGTTCCCACAAGAGACCACGAGCATTTCACAGGGCTTCGATTGACTGAGAATTTATATATTCGGTTTCTTAAATGACTGTCAGATTGAAATGAATGATAAAATTTAAAAATTTTAGCAATAAACATATATTTGCTATGAACCTCCCAGTTCACCACCAACGAGTGCACACAATTCACACACCATCCACAAATGAGATCACACGAAGCCACACTGAAGGCCAGGGAGATGGACGCCAGGTGAGCGCAGTTTTAGTCATATGAACAATTAAGAGTTCCAATCACAAGCGTTCAACAGCGCAGATCCAAGTAACCAGTCTCCTCTCTGTTCCACTCCTCTCCCTTCCCTCTTGGTCTTCTCTCTGTCTATTATCTCCCTGTGTCTTCTCTCCCTACTTGCATGCACTCACACTCTCTACTACTCAAGGACCAGCTCTGAATACACCCACTGCTAATTCTACTAACCCCTCTGAGGTCTACTAGTAACCACTAAGCACTGGCGCAGCTATAGTTGCCTTCCCTCTGCCAGCGCTAAGGCAGCTATGGCTGCTCCCTCTCTCTCCCTCTACTAGCGCAGCTCTCTGGCTCAGCGCTTTGCTCCTCACAATAGCGCACAAGTGCACCAGCACTTCCACACTTCATGCGAATAAGCAATCTGCCAGAATGAGGAGGCTGGCCAGTCCTTGTATTGACTTGGCTGAGCTTCAGCTCGTCCCAGCCTCTGCCTCTTGGGGCTTGACTTGGCACTGGTGCTACATCCCCACGGCCTGTTTGCTTCAGAATGTGTTACATGCCCAGTTGGGCGATGTACATATAAACCAACGATCCGCAATGTGATGAAAAGGACTGAATGGACAATGCAGTGCAAGTAGAATCTCAACAAGCAGTGCCCATCCTGATACATACAAAATGGTGTTTTAATAGCGCAGTGGAAGATTTAGATACAAGTCCTGACCTGACCGGGACTGACCTCTTTCACGCAGTACAAGACAGCGAAGCAGAATGCTAGGATACTAATGACTAGCCTAATCAATGTTTCAACGCAGACCAAACATACATCATGCTCATCACAATGTGTGAAGGGGCCTGGCGCTATACACAAGGAAGAGGCGCCAGGTCCAGACATACACAGACGAAGAGGAGGGGATCAGACAAAGGAGAGGAAGGGGGGAGATGGGAAAGTCGTCAACACCAAGTCTCGTTACAAGTCCCAAATAATCCCTCTCCAAAATGTCTGAAGTCCAATGTCGAGTCTGGATCCAAATGTCAGCAATCTCTCTCTCTCTCTCTCTCTCTCTCTCTCTCTCTCTCTCTCTCGCTCGCTCGCTCGTAGTCTGCTGATGCAGTAAAGTCAGATAGTGAGAGGGTGAGAAAGAGACGGTGGACTGAGAAGAGGAAGAAGAAGAACTCTCTCTCTCTCATATGCCAGGTACTAACCTGTGAAGATGGCGCTGTCCTGCAGGTACCTCGAAGACGAAGATGGAGCAACGGCGCTGCACGTAAGTCTCTCTGGCCTCCGCCCAATCTCTCTCTCTCTAGTACTATTCTAGCTGCTATGGCACCCAGTGCTGAAGACTACAACTAACGCTACCAGCGCCCAGCGCTGAAGACTACTGCTAACGCTGCTACTACTCCTGCAGCGCTCCTCCAGAGTGCTGCTGCCGAATCCTGAAGACTACCTCCTGCCTCCTGAACTGCACGTGAAGTGCCTGGGAAGTACCTAGGAACTGCCTGCCTGCCTGTAGGGCGGGCCAGTCCTATATAGTGCTGGCCCGTCCAGGAGGCTGCTCTTGCCAATGCCGAAACGTGCCAGACCCTGGCGTTGAAGCTCAGCCAGGGGTTGTCTTGAAAACAGGCCCGAAATGGCCTGTGCAAAAACCCTGGTTTGTTGCCTGAGTTTCAGGGCAGGTCGAACTGATGAGGGCCCCGAAATGGCCCTCAGTTTCAGGCTAAAAACACTCAGGGCGGGAAATGCCCTGATTTCTGAAACGACACAGGACCTGTAGGCCGTTGCTTTCAGGCTTTCAGGCTGAAACGACACAGGGCCTGTAGGCCCTTGTTTTCAGGCTTTTGGCCTGAAAACGTCACGGGCCTGGGAATGACCCGTGCAGCCTGTTGCAGGCGCAGGATGTAACCCCCCCCTTCCTTATGAAGTCAAGCCCGATCGAGGACGAGGCTGACGATCTAAAGGTGGAACCTGGACGCGGGCGCGACGTGGCGCCGAAGATACCGGCTTGCTTTGCATTTTGCGTTCATAGCGTGCGAGAACATCTGGAGCTGTTGCTCGGAGTTCCACACGGGTCAACCAACGGTCAGCTTTGTGAGTGCAGTACGCAAAATGTACCAAGTACTCGGTTGGCCTGTTGCCGTAGCGTCGCTGGGAGATGGTGTTGCCGACCTCCTGAAAACCGTCCATAGAGGGTGGGTCTCGCGAACGTCGCCCGGGAAAATCATCATGTTCCGCTGGCGTGTAAAGAGCCAACTTGGAGCAATGAAAGACTGGGTAGACGGGCAAGTGGGCGGGCACCTGAATGGTGGAAAAAGGTCCCTCGGGTGCATCCCCAGCGAGTGCCATGACTGGCCAGGGCCGCATCCATTTCGGGAGGAGCTTGCGAGAGATATCTTGTTCAAGGCTGAATTCCGCGGCGGAAACCCAAACGAGATCGCCGGAGCGGAATGGGCAAGGAAGACGCTGGCGATTGGCCTGTTGGCTCATGCGTTGCTGCGTCTTGGCCATCTGGTCGCGCGCCTGGAGTGATGGTGTCCAACGGCGAGGTGACCGGCGAGCCGTGCTCGAACTCGAAGGGCGACATCCCGATAGCCGGGTGGACTCGCCATCCGGCAGCCGATCAACCCAATCCGTCTGGTCGGGGCGGAAGAGAGTGCGAAGGAGAACCTGTGCGGTCTAATGCGCCCTCTCCGTTTGGCCATTGGTTTGGGGGTGGTGAGCCGAACTTGGCTTGAGAGATGAGCCCCATCGTTTGATGAGCGCCAACCAAAAATCGGACATGAACCAGGTGTCGCGGTCGCAGACGATTTCCTTGGGGTAACCCTTGGTTTGAATCCAACCGGCGTAAAGAACCTCGGCCAACTCCGGTGCCTTGGCATGATAGCAACAAGGCAAAAACATGGCGAACTTGGTGAGTCGGTCGACCACCGTGAGAATCTCATCCACGCCGGTTTTGTGCTTGGGGAACGGGCCGGTAATGTCCATGGCAATCGCTTCCCTTCGCCGCAAGGGGACCGGTAATGGTCGCAACTCGCCGTATGGACGATGGTTGCGGGATTTGCAGCGTCGGCAAACCTCGCATGACTCACAATAGCGTGTGACGTCGCCGAGAAGGCCGGGCCACCGAAATCGCTCACGAAGTCGGCCAATTGTGCAATTGACTCCAAAGTGTCCGGTGGCGGGAGCATCGTGGAACTCGCCAAGAAGCCTTGTACGCAAGTGAGGGTCACTCGGTACACAAAGAAGGTCCTTCCCCCGTGTGTGGACAAGCAAGTACACCTCTTGGATCCGGTAGTGAGAAGGCGCCGGATTAGGAGAGGAGCAATTCGCGTACTTGTCGCGAAACTCGGGGTCAGCTTGGTAGCCGAGGATGAAGCTGTCCCGCAGGTCGTTGTCGATCTCGAAGGTTGAATAGACCGTGGTACAGTGATCCGGACGCCGTGAAAGAGCATCCGCAAAATGGTTCGACTTCCCCGCAATGTGATCGGGAAAGAAGTCAAACTGGTCGATTAAAGCCATCCATCGAGCGATAGTGCTGTTGACGGTGTCTTGGGTCTTGTAAAAGACCGACGGGTTGTTGTCCGTTACCCATCGGAATTGGCTTCGACCAAGGAGGAAGTGCCGCCACCGCTTGAGCGCGTGGACGAAGGCGAGGAGCTCCTTGCGTGCATCGTCAATGGAGTGCACGACGGGCACTTTCTTGCTGAAATACTCGACCGGGTGCCAGTCCACGCCATCGTGTTGCTAGAGGACGACACCAATGCCATAGCCAGACTCATCCGTAGTGACTCGCGTAGGCAAAAGCGGGTCGTATATGAGCAAGACCTCCGCAGATAATAGCGCGGCTTTGAGAGCCAAAAATGATTCCCGCTCATCCTCTCGGAAGTCAAACGGTCGATCCTCACATTGAAGCTTGGTCAAGTGGGCCGCGATCTTCGAGTAGCCCTTGATAAAACGCTGGTAGTAGCCGGCGAGGCCAAGGAACGAACGGACATCCATGACGTTCCGTGGCTTCGGCCACTCTTGGATGGCTTGAATCTTGTTCAATAGCGGACTGATGACCTCCGGTGTGACAAAAAAATGGCCCAAGTATTCCAGCTCTTGCCGGACAAATTTGCACTTGTCGCGGTTGGCCTTGTACTTGGCGCGGCGGAGCATCTCCAACACTCATCGAAGGTGCTCAAGATGATCCTCCAATGACCGGCTATAGACGAGAATATCGTCTAAGTAGACCAGCACGAACCGATCCAACATTGCACGACACTCATTGGTCATTGCCGCTTGAAAGGTCGTCGGCGCGTTGGTGAGGCCAAAAGGCATGACCACCCACTTAAGATGCCCATACCGCGTCTTGAATGCAAATTTGTAATGATCGTTTGATCAGACCGAGATTTGATGATATCCCGACTTCAAATCCAACTTAGAACCGCCCAATCGCTCAAGATTATTGTCCATGCGAGGAAGAGGCCCCGCATTCTTGACGGTTTGTGCGTTGAGCTTGCGGTAGTCGATGCACAGTCGTAGATCTTTGTTCTTCTTCTATACGAAGAGAACTGGCGCTCC